AGAAAAATCTTGAATGCAAGGATCCGAGGAGCTGGAAATCGAAACTCTGTAAGCTCTTCAGCCAATGTTCTACAAGCTGCCAAAGCTGCAGCACTTCTTGCTTCATCAGCTGCAAGTTCAGCAGCATGAGCCAGCAGTTGAGAGGAAGATGTTCAATATTGTCCAATAAAATAGGTAAAGAAACAGATGTAGTTTCTAAAATCTAAATACAATTCAAGCGAGGTAATCCTCCAGTATCATAACATACCATGCAAACACATACATGTAGTGCAATGAAAAGGAAATACAGACATCCAAGGCCAGATTGTCACAGGGCATGCATTTATATATAATTTACCAAGAGTAGCTACTTCCAGCATTTAGCAAGTCACGACTAGCTTCACACAAGGTGTTTTTTCGAGTTACCTCTAAACCAGGGAATCATCATTTTTAAACTGTGGCTTGATAAATGCAATTCTGGACATTAACAAGGCGCGACTGTGTTCATGAGTGGCATAGGAAGATATGCCCTAAGGTCTTTTCTTGGAAGCTAGCTTTCAAACTACATAAATTGTTGGATCTCGTATTCATTTACACCGTGAAGATGAACATAGAAGCAACTACAACAGATATACAAGCCAAAGCTAAAAGACGGTTTAATTTATATACCAACCAAATGAAGACATCTCCATGGTCTAGAACAACTGCTGTATCAGACTGCATGACAAGATCATAAGCTGGCAATTCTTCAAAAGTGCCTCCTTCTCGATGCATCAGACAGCGAGGGGCAACCATGCGAAGTGAAAGATCAAAGGATGCATTCAAAAACAAATTCCGCAGAACAGATCTCTCATCCTCATGACCAACAATATTTCCCAACAATGGGCCCCGCCTAAAATGGAATAGAAGCTCTGGTACTAGAGAGATTTCCTTTGGGAACCGATGAAGCTTCGACTTTGGCACTTGCGAGCTAAATTTTAGAGCAATGTCTTTAACTCTTTCATCTATTGTTGTACGCATATCAAGTGCATCAGAAAAACTTTTTGCTCCCAAGACAGTCCTCTTGGCAATTAGGACAGAAGCCACCTCATCTTCAACACTTTGAAGATATTCTGGAACACTATCAAAAGTTGGCAATCTGATAGTAATCACTCTAGTTATATCAGCTTGATAAACATTTGAGTATTGAATGGCAAACTGGAAAAAAACGAAATCACTCTTGATGTCATGCTTATTCTCGAATTATATAGAGAAGCATTGTGTTTCTTCAACACTCAGCATTTGAATACAGAGATAAATATCATTCTTAAAGGTTTCATGGGTATCAATATGAGCCTCTTCACCAGGACCCACAACCTGAGTAATAAGAACGTCATCAGAACAGCATATCTCCAACAAACCATGAGAACCAGAAGCCCTGGCAGCTGCCCTTTGTAAGTTAATACCAAATGCTTCACTGAAATCATCGTGAAGAACAAAAGCACCCCTTGAAGCTTTTGCAAGAGGCTGCAGCACGGGAACCCTTACAGGGCAAGTTCCAGCACAGAGAATATCAACCACTGTGTTTTGTTGATGAGCCTCACAACCAAGATGCTCCATCCATTTTAATGCACTCTTTTCCTTATGAGGATAATTAGGGTGACTATTAGAATGAGGGACAGATCCAGGGCCTTAAGTATTCGGTCCACCAGCACACACAATGATTCTGCTGTTAAAACCTGGGCTTTTAACAACACCTCGAGAAAAATCTGCAGATGGTCCTTGAATAATAGCCAGAGCAACCTCAACTGCAGTACCCAAGCACCTATCTCTTGATGCTTCTGGAACATTCAACTTGTATGGCCTCGATGACGAGAATAACAGGTGTGCCACCTCTTTTGAAGCATGCACTGGAGACAAGTATATGCCTGTTCCATATACCAATGCTTTCAAGGTCTCCTGACTCGGTGAAGTGCCACCTGGAATCACATCAGCAGAAGCAACAGATTCTTCTGAAAAGTCATAGACTGATACTGTGCGACCATACGAAATGATTCCAATTCTTGTTGTTGGCGGCAGTGAATCAACAAATGCATGCAAGGAGCTCTGTAAATGCTGAAGGTGTGGCTCATCTAAACATTCATCAATGACGAGAACCACCAGTGCAGAAGTTCTCGAATCAGTAACTGGAACAAAACTTGGTCTCTTATTCCCTGTTTGAATGAAATCAACCAAAGGTGATGACAACTCAGGAAAATTACTAAGCTCTTCCTTGCTCAGTGCTATGTATTCACCTTCACTTCCATTTAGATTCCCACAGATTACACAATGCCATTGGCCTGAGCCAATTAGTATGTTGGAATACAGATTCGAATAAGCTCCACAATCATGGCATCGATGAGGATCCCGCTGTACCACTGGAGGACCTGGTGAAGCCTCCCCAGGAGAAACCAATACTCCAAAACCTAAACTAGGTACATTTGCTTGTTTCTTGTATTTCAACACCTGATACACGAAAATAAATGGAAGAGGAAAAATCAATTATAGAGAGAAATAGTGCATATAACCGCCAAGATAAACAGGTTGTAAAATATAATAATATGTGCATAATCATAAAATCTGAAATAGAAATTCAAGACTTTGATAGCAAAATCTTAGAAAAAAGACATTAAAACAATTAAAATAATTCTGCTTCTCATTTCATCCCTCAAAGAATAAGAGATACCTTATGATCTAAGAATAAAACACATGGTGGCTTTCCATCATGCACAGGTTCCTCAATAGCACTGGGAAGTTGCTGTTGCAGCTCCATTGTCCCATTCGAAAAATATGGAGGTGAAGATGTGGGCAAAGATGAGGCTGATGAGAGAGCAACAGGCTGAGGAGTTGCAGAGAGGTTCGGAAAGGCACAGCAGCAGGCTGGACTGGTGATGTAAATATACGGGGACCAGAGGGAGTACTCAAATGGGAAACAGAGCTTCCTGTTTTGACCTCATTTTCCGATGATAGCATAATGGGATATTTTTTTTGAAGAGGAACGGATCTGATCTTATTATAAATTAGATAGGGGAAATCTAGGCGCTACAGGGGAGATTATGGGAGGGGCAGGAGCAATTGGACTTTTATCAGGTTTAGACGAAAGAAAATCCATCATTGCAATTGAGAATCTCCCTTAATTGAATATAATGCCAATCAAATTCCACCTCTTGGAATGAATCAAACGTACAGGATTAAAACGTTTAAGAATAACTTCAACGCAATGTTCACAACCAAATGCCGAAAGAAACCACATAAACAGACATGGTCAAAAAAACCTCACAACAATTCACTTGACATGATTAAAAAAAAGAATCGAAATTGATCCCTTGGCTATCTCCCCTCAATTCAAGCTTCGATATAATCCCTTCTTCTAAATTCCAGCCTAAAATCCAAATTTCAATACTAAAAAGATCAAGTCTAGGGCTTTTTTTTAAATACAATACAAAATCAAGGAAATTTCATACCTGATATGAGACGGAACAAGAAAGAAAGGAGAGTCTTTTTATTTGAATTATCGAGGACTTGGAACCTCAACAATCTATTGACTCTTCTTAAATATAACTCTTTCTTCTCCGTCTCTGCGTTGGGTTTCCGGCGCTTAAATAAAATGAGCACCAGAAGCAGAGCCCATTGCCATTGTCATCGATCTTTTCTATATTAGTAGATTTCCATTGACGCATCCCCCCTTCCATTTGAACCTACGGTAATGGTTCATTTTGCCCATGGTTTTCAAAACTGAACTGGTTAGAGAACCGGCCATATTACTGATTCATTGGTTTAATCGATCGAACTGATCTGACCGATCGAAAGAACTGGACGACATCATAATTATTTAAAAAAATTAAATAAAAAATTCAAAAATATTTAATAAAAAATAATTTTTTATATCACAAGTCATATTCAAATCAAATCATAATATATATAAGTTAAAAACCATAGAATCAAGTGAAACAAAATGATTCAAATTAACTACAACATAATATTTATTTAAGGTAAAACATATTAAATAATAAATATAATTATATAACTATAATTAAAAAATAAATTTGGGGCTAAAAAAATCATAACAAAACGATATTGTTTGGTTTAATTTTTTTTTTAAAAAATAATCTCACATGGTTAAGAAATATATAAGAACATCCAAAAAGTCTAAAGAGTAAAAATATGAGAACAAAACAATCTCACATGACTAAGAAACATAGAAGAGCATCACAACTAATTTCTATAAATAATAGAGGTAATTTGACATTTAAAATCATAGAGCCTTTTGGTGAGCATTGAGTGAACTATTTTTTCACTTCAATCAAGCTCGAATTTTAGGCTTCAATCTAGCTTCTAAATTTTTTTGAGTTCAAACCTTTTTGAGTTCAAGTTTCAATATTATATTTCGAGTTTAAATTGAACTTGATAATTTTTAGCTCATGATTTTGAGTCGAGTTGAGCTTACTTTAAAAGTTTTCAAGTTCGAGTCGAGCTCAACAATACTCAAGTTTGACTTGGCTCGTTTAACAAACGACACCGTTTGGTTTAATTTAAAAAAAAAATTGGCGGTTTTTTCCGGTTTTCAACCGGTTCGTTCGAACGGTTCAACGGTTCTGATCGGTTCACTAGTAACAGTTCAACCGGTGTATATTGAATCGAATTAGATAACGATTTCCGATTAAACCGACCGATCTAGTCCGATTTTCAAAAACACTGATTTTGCCCAGTTGGCTTGGTCGTTTCTTTTGATTGGTCAACTGCTGTTGACATCATAGAATATGACGTGTGCTCTATTAAAACGACGCCGTATAATCTTTCCACGTGTCAAACTCTTGACCCCTAGACTATTATGTCTCCCCAAATGGATTATTCTCATAATCGAACGGCTGCATTTATAAGCAGTTTTGGGGAATGACACGACGACGTATCGCTTTCATCTTCCAGCCATTAACGTCAACTTTCGATTTCCGGTCCCACTCTTTCAATGGATACGATACGAATACAGTAACAAAAAATTAAATAAATTAATAAAAACAAAAAAGGGCACTGAGTTCATACTGTTTAGGAGCTGCGCCGACTGTCGAGTTCTTAATATCATGCCCATTTTCTGGACAAAACCCTAATTTCCTTTGATTCTTCTTTTCATTCGCTCCCAATCTCCGCAGATGCTGCGCGAAGACCCTAGAAACGGTGAGTCGGCTCACCGCAGCTCCAAAAAACCCAAACTTTCCTCCAAGTTTATTACCGAGTCGGATATCCGTGACGAGTTCTCTCACCACCAGCCACGTGTCGCTCGCATCAACAACGGGAGTTTTGGTAGCTGTCCCGGCTCGGTTCTTACTGCCCAACGCCATTGGCAGCTGCAGTTCCTCTGCCAACCTGATGCCTTTTACTTCAATACCCTCCGTCACGGAATAACGGCGTCACGGAAAATCATAAAGGACCTCATAAACGCCGACCACGTCGAAGAGGTCTCCCTCGTCGATAACGCCACAACCGCCGCTGCCATCGTCCTCCAACGGATCGGTCGTAGTTTCGCCGAAGGGAAGTTCCAGAAAAACGACACGGTTTTAATGCTCCACTGCGCGTTTCAGGCTGTTAAAAAATCAATCCAAGCGTATGTCACTCGCGCCGGTGGCTCCGTTATCGAGGTACGGTTACCATTCCCAGTAAATTCCGAGGAAGAAATCGTTTTCGAATTCAAAAAATCAATCGAGGAAGGAAAATCCAATGGTAGAAAGATAAGGCTAGCGATTATCGATCATATTACATCAATGCCATCTGTTGTTATTCCGGTAAAAGAATTAGTTAGGATTTGTAGGGCGGAAGGAATAGAGCAGGTTTTTGTAGACGCGGCACACGCAATTGGGAGCGTGAAAGTAGATGTCAAAGAAGTTGGAGCCGATTTTTATGTAAGCAATTTACATAAATGGTTCTTCTGCCCGCCTTCTGTAGCATTTCTGTATTGTAAAAAATCAACTTCATCATCTGATGTGCATCACCCTGTTGTTTCACATGAGTATGGAAATGGATTGCCGATTGAAAGCTCCTGGATCGGGACTAGGGATTATAGTTCTCAGTTAGTGGTTCCTGCAGTTTTGGAGTTTATTAACAGGTTCGAAGGAGGGATTGATGGGATAATGAAGAGGAACCATGATGAAGTGGTGAAGATGGGGAAGATGTTGGCGGAGTCTTGGGGGACAAATTTAGGGACTCCTCCAGAGATGTCAGCTGCAATGATTATGGTTGGTTTGCCTTCAAGGTTGTGTCTTAATAGTGAGGAGGATGCTGTGACATTGAGGTCACATTTGCGAGATCGTTATGAGGTCGAAGTTCCAATCTTTCATCAGGTTTCCAAGGACGGGGAAGAGGAAGTTAGAGATATGGGAAGGTTCATTACAGGATATGTGAGAATTTCTCATCAGGTTTATAATACATGGAAGGATTATGAGAAATTAAGGGATGCTATTAATCAGATAGTTGAGGATGGGAAAACATGCAAAATGCTTTATACAGAATGAAGAGGTAATTTCTTTTACATTGTTGCATCTTGGATTGGTTTGTGCAGCGATTTCTGCTAATAAATATTTGCTTGTCTGCTAAACGATAATTGTTATTATTGTGTTCACGATGAAATAAGTCCAGTGCTATAAGTCTATTATTACTATGGGGAAAAACAATTTTTCTTCAATGTCCCATATGGTTCTTTTGCTGGTGAAAGTATTCTGATTCTAATTTAATGTTGAAACTTGATGCCTTTCTTAATGAAATGTTTGAACCTGCCTATTCTGTTATAATCCTTTATCTGCAAATCTTTTGTACACTAATGGAAAAATGGAATCAAATTAATATTAGTTACCAGAGAATATATACATAATGATGAATGACATTTCTAAAACCATAGTATACAACTCATACTGATGCATTACTAGGTCAGGGAACCAATATTCATCGGAGGTGGAAAGGAGGGGGGGGACAAAGGGAGCTTTTCATGCTAGATTAACTACTGTGCTTTTCGATTCATGTGAAGTTTATTATAATCCAGATGATTAAATACCTTAATTTGTTCTATTTATGCTTGTCAGGCAGTTATAAAAGTCAGAGCAGCATTCTATGGAATAAAATCTGTGTTTTGCCATCGATGGTTGTGGTATCATACAGTTCTTAAAGAACCAAACCAAAAAAAGAGAGCAAAGAGCAGTGCTGAAGAAATTGTATGTGCTTCTTGGAGCCTCAAAAGTGTTTTCAGAGAACCTCTGACCAATCTTGTCTGACATGTGACTTGAGCTTTGTTCTATCAATCCCTGTAGTTGGACAATAAATCTATGAAATCTAGCATTTTTTAGCAGTTAACCTGCTTTCAACTGAATTTTGCTTTTAGTTAGAACACCTCGAGCGTTTTAGTTGTTATGTATTTGTAGCAAGTATATTATCCGTCTGATATGAATTTCATAAGGCAAGCATCTTTGGATCTGTTGAGTGGCAAAAACCACCGTTCTTTGTTGTTAATCTCAACAGTAGATGCTTTCTATAATGCGAAGGCCTCTCACGCCGGAATTGGAATGGCCCTATTGTTGATGGGACAAGGATAACCTACCGGAGAGCGGAAAGAGGAAAATGAAAAAAAAATTAAACATGTTGATAGGAATTAGGGATGTAAATGAATATTCTTTAGTGAATTGTTCGTATAATATTTGTTTATGTTAGTTACAGAGTATGAATAAATTTTTTATATTCATTTAATAAGAAAATGAACATGAATGAAAGTATATTTGGTTCGTTTATGCTTACGGATAAATTCGTTTATTAACTCGTTTTTAAATTTGTTTACTCTAATTTTTTTCATATTTTAAATATTGACAAAGATATATAATTAAATTAAACATAGGATAAACATTAAAACTGTGAAACTTAAGAAATTTAAAAACTAATGGTATAATATTGTCGTTTTTCTTTAGCTTGCAAATATAAAGGTAATTTTTTTTAATTATCGAACATATCAATGAACGTTAAACGAAAATGTTCAAGAACGCTAAACAAATCACAAATAATTATAAAATAAATAAATAAACATAATATTAAAAGTATAAACAAATATAAATATTTTTAAAAATAAACAAATAAATATAACTTTTATTTAAGTTTAGTATATTTAAACTTGTAATAAAAATACATTATGTCCCGACTGTTGACAAGGAATTCACACCTAATAAGAATACATTATGTCTCGACTGTTGACGAGGAATTCACACATTTTAATTAAAGACAATTCACACATTCTAATTTAAATGTGACTCTAGTTTAAATTAAGAGTCACAGTTAAAGAAGTTATAGAACAATTAGTGTCAGACCCATAGCTGTCGAGAACTTGGGTCATAGAAGATGATTACAGCTGTCTGATAAATTATAGAGATGGATAAGAGGTCCAAGATTATTATGATCTAGGAAGTACGAAACTTTAGCTGATATAACAGAACACCCTAAAATTTCAACCTGCATTTGACATTACTTCTGAAAAGCCAAACATAATAGCATTTTTTACATTTTTAGCTAGATCCTTTAGCACATTAACTATAGTTTCCTATTCACACTAATCCATAACTATCATCACAAAGAAAATGAAGACTCAAGATGAGAGCATCAAGCATTCATCATCCCTGTCCTTGCATAAAAGATTCGCCACGATCAGATCGACATCTTTCAACCCAACGACGGTGCATGTTGGATTAATCCCAAGCCTAACAGAGTCTTCATTGATTCTTGAAGCAGTTTTGTTTTGGGTGTTCGAGACCCTCACATTTGGAGCCGTCCTGCACTTACCCATGCATTTGCAGGCAACAATGGTGGCTTCTGCCCCGACCTTCTTTTCGAACTCTTCTAACAAGGCAGAAGCTCCCAGTTTCTTGCACTTCCCACCCATGCAAACTTCGATCTTCTTCGTTGATGTCCCGCTCTTGCCATGGTCAGTCTTGAAGCCATTTGCGCTGCAGCATTCATCATCAATAAGAGGAACTCGAACTCGAATCTTGGGGCTAGAATCCGAGTTCTCTAGCTCCAAAAGTGAGTGAGTTATTGTTGATTCCTCTGCCACCATTGGTGCTGCTTCTATTTCTATCTCTTGTGGTTGTTTCAAGGCATTGTCAGTTGGTGCTTCTGTCTCTAGGGATGGTTTCAAAGCATTGCTTCTTAGGGTTTTCATGTCAACTACCTCCCCACAATCGCTGTCACTTAATTCAGAGGAAGACGATGATGATTCTGATTTCCCCAAAGTTGCTTTGAGCTGGGCTCGTTCCTCTTTCAACTTTCCTTTTAACTCCTTTTGTTCTGATTTCAACTTTTGCACTTGTGCTAACAAAACATTACTTGCTTCCTGTAACAAAAAAACAACATTTGAGGATTCAAATTAAATCCAATAGATCACAGAATTCCTAATTCAATTTTTTAACAATTCTCATACAAAGAAAGGATCACAATTCAATTAAAAAGACAGTAGAGTATTTTATCAGGATCAAACCAATCACAAAAACAGAAGTAGAAACAGAAAAGGAAAAAATTCTCTCTTTACCTGAATCATCGTCACCTTAACTTCACCGGCCAATCCGAACCTAATATCCTCGCCAGCAACAAACTGAGGAAGCATGGACAAATCCTTAGACAATCTCTTCATAAGCTTCAACTTCTTCTTGACTTTCCTGATCTCAGAGCTTTTTCCCTTGTCTTTCTTCGTGGCAACGCCACCGGCATCACAACAACCGGTCGGCGATGCATAATACTGGACATGCCCTAAATCAGAAAACAGGAAACTCAATCTCCGGCAAGATTTAATCCTCGGCCTAACTGAAACCCTGGAACCTCCAACACCAAGATTCAACTCCCCGGAAAACCGACCGCCGAAATCAATCCTAGTCGCCGGCAGCCGTGAAACTGTCCTGCAAACGATGCCTGCAGTCTCCATGGCGTGAAACGGATGGTATCGATTCCGTTTGGCTTGGAAAAGGATTGGATGGATTTGAAAGAAGCTATTTCATATATATTGAAATATACGTTGCTTCAACGGTTTCGGTTTCGGTTTCGGTTTCCTGGAAGGGAAAGGGGCTAGCATACGTGTCACGCTATTAATGGTTCAATTAAATCTAAAGCTGACGTGGAAAATTAATGCGCTTGGCGGTGCCGCGCTCGTGAGGAATTCGGTTTACCACGTTCTACGTACACTTCTACGTGCGTTTCATTTGAATATCAGCGGTGCGATGGCCTTGTCCCATTAATAAGGGTTTGGATTTTGCCACCTCATCGTTGCGTTTCTGCCGAGTGGCAATAAAGTGATCCTTTTATTGCCACGTAGGCGTAACCAGCACAACAGCCAAAGAAAACGGGCAACGAAGTTTTGGAGGAATATCCGGATATGTTCATCTATAACTAATTTTAATATAAAATAATTTAATCATGATAACTCATCGTAATTTAAATACAATTTATCAATGTTTTTAAAATCGGACCGAACATTGAACAGGTGAATGTACTGGTTCACTGATTCAACCGCGGTTGAATCGGATTTTATATAAAATAATATTTTTTTAATTTTACATAATATTCAAAATAATATTAATATATATATAACACTTTTTTTAAGTTTACAATATTAAAAGGTATAAAAATATCACAAGTCATAACATATATAAATGAAAAACCATAAAATCAAGTGAAACAAAATGATTCAAATCAACTACAACATAATATTTAAGGTAAAACATATTAAATAATAAATATGATTATATAATTATAATCAAAAAATAAAATTGTGGCTTAAAAAAATCATAACAAATGATGTCATTTGGTTTAATTAAAAAAAATAATCCCACATAGCTAAAAAACATAGAAGAGCATCCCAACTTACTTCTATAAATAATAGAGGTAATTTGACATTCAAAATCATGGAGCATTTTGGTGAGCACATAGCGAACTATTCTTTTGCTTCAATTGAGCTCAAATTTTAGGCTTCAATCGAACTTCTAATTTTTTTTTGAGTTCGAGCCTTTTCGAGTTCAAGTTTTAATATTATATTTCGAGTTCGAGTTGAATTTGATAATTTTTATCTCGTGAGTTTTTGGGTCGAGTTGACCTTACTTTTAAAGTTTTTGAGTTCGAGTCGAGCTCATCAATACTCAAATTTGACTTGGCTCGTTGAATAAACGACGTCGTTTTGTTTAATTTTTTTTTAAAAGAAAAAAAGTGAACTGGCGGTTCAAATCGGTTTTGCCGGTTTTCAGCCGGTTCACCCCGATTTTATCGGTTTTTAGCCGGTTCTACCGATTTTCAGTCGGTTCATTGTCAGACTAATTTTGTGAGATAACCTGACCGGACAGGCCACCGGTTCACGGTTCAACCGGTTGAACCGACCGGTCCGATCTGATTTTGATAACCATGCAATTTATGCAAGATAATTACAAGTATGTATCAATATATTAAAATGAATTTAACAATCTAAATTAAAGTAAATTAATAAGATAATTAATAAAATGTCAATTAAACAACGATATCAAATCTAATTATAAAAAAATATTACAAAAATAAAAATATAATACAATAATAAAAAATCATATTTTTTTAATAAAATGAAAAAATATTGAACAAAAAATATCAAAATTTTATGAAGTAAATTAAATAAAAAAAATCAACAACATAATTTTTGACAAAAAATGAGTGATAATTGTTTCATCAAAGATAAAGGTGTAATTGTTTTAAACAATAAGGAGTAATTAAAAAATTTTAATTTTTTTTTTATAAATTATTGATAATATACATATCACGTAGTTCCTGGAGAAATCTTTTTAAATAAACCAGAAAAATAAAATTGAAAAGAAATTATTTTCAATCTTTTTTATCTTTTATACCATATTTTATAAAAATAAATAAAAATTGAAAGATTTTTTTTATATTTTATCATTTTTAATGTATTAAATATAAATAAATATTAATACAAAACAAATTTTTTTTTAATATATATTTTAGAACATTCACATACATGTTATTTTAAATTTTTGTGGTGTCTTAATTATTCCTCATGTTGGAAATGGCTTTCAATTTCAGTCTATAAAAAGTATATTTAAATTGTCATCCATGCAGCAGGATCCGACCTTAGCTCAGTTGGTACAGCGGAGGACTGTAGTAGGCGCCTCTCCTGCCAGAAATCCTTAGGATCGTTGGTTCGAATCCGACAGGTCGGATAATAATTTTTGGTACAAAGTACTGTCTAATTAAATTTACTTTATGGTTCATAATTATTTTTCATGTTGGATTCATGCTGTGTTTTAAATCATTATTACATTTTATATAATTTATCACGACAGATATTTAAAAAAAAATAAAAGCAGTCAATTTTATTAAGAATAAAAAATATTTGAAATTATAACCAGGGTTACAACTAAATTTCTAAATTAATCATATAATTAGAATACTATCACATAATCATTAATACAAGAAAATTAATCACTCGTGATCATATAAGAATCATACAATGAAAAAGTAAAAAAAATAGTATAATAGGTATATACAAACAAATCTAATTGCTATGACAAACGAATCACAACAGAAGATTTAATTACAAAAAGACTACCAGTAAACGTAAATAAGAGTTAAGTATTATGAGAAAATTATCTACAAATGTAGACTAAGTATCCAAATACAATTCGAGGGTAAAATCATGAGAATATTAAATGGATAACAAATTAGTGTCATATTGATCAGTCACAGTGATATTAAGTCAAACTTTGAGAAAAAATAAATAATAAAAACAATCAAAAGATCAAAGAAAAATCTAAAGAACGTGTCAAATAACAATGAAAACATATAATAAAAGCAGTAAAAAATCATGTCAAAAAAATAAAATTTTAAGAAACAAGAAAAGTAAGGATGTGAGGTAAGGATGCGAGGTAAGAAAATAAAGGGAAAATATACCAAAAAAACAAGAGCGATTAGGGTAGAAGTGGTAGTTGTTAAAAGAGGGTTGACAGATGAATTCTAATACTCAAGTTTTAGTATATATTACATAATACAATATTGACAAAGAATTATTATATGATTCAAATAATAAAAGTTATTACAATATGAAAACATCAATACCTGATTATATTTTTTAAATAAATTCAAAATCGAAATTTAATTATATCTAGAGGAAAGGCGATGATAAAATTTTAAGAGAAAGAAGAGAAATGTTCTTAGGTGGCGTTTGGTTGGATGAAATCTTTTGGAATTGGTGGGAATTGGAATCCAATTCCACCACTTTCCCATGTTTGGTTCAAGTTTTTTAAGGGAATTAGAATCTCTGATGGAATTCAATTCCATCAAATGAGGGAAAGTGAATTCCATCAAAAAAATGGATGGAATTCAATTCCCTTGTTGGAGGGAATTGAAATTTGACCATACTACCATCATCAATCATTTGGTAACTTATTCATATATTGAATAAAAATATTTTTTTATTATTTCGGGTCGGGTCGGGTTTCTAATTCATATATTCGGGTCGGGTCGGGTCAGGTGAAATTTTATTTTGGTCGGGTCGGATCGGGTTTTTTTAAGTGTGATATTCGGGTCGGGTTCGAGTTTATGGTGAAAAAAATCGGACCGACCCGAAAATATATATAATTCGGGTCGGGTCGGATTAAGTCACTGTTTTATTAAATAAAAATATTTTTTATTATTTCGGGTCGGGTCGGATTTCTAATTCATATATTTGGGTCGGGTCGGATGAAACTTTATTTTGTTCGGGTCGGGTTTTTTAAGTGTGATATTCGGGTCGGGTTTTTTTAAGTGTGATATTCGGGTCGGGTCGGATTCGGGTTTAGGGTGAAAAAAATCGGACCGGCCCGAAAATATATATAATTCGGGTTCGGGTCGGGTCGGATTAAGTCACTGTTTTTATTAAATAAAAATAATTTTTTATTATTTTGGGTCGGGTCGGGTCGGATTTCTAATTTATATATTCGGGTCGGGTCGGATGAAACTTTATTTTGTTCGGATTGGGTCGGGTTTTTTAAGTGTAATATTCGGGTCGAGTAGGGTCGGGTTTTTTTAAGTGTGATATTCGGGTCAGGTCGGGCCGGGTTCGGGTTTAGGGTGAAAAAATAGGACCGACCCGAAAAATATATATAATTTACCTTATATATTTAGGAATAATTACAATAATACCCCTCTATATATAATTTTTTTTTTCCAATTAAGTCAATGTTTTTATTAAATAAAAATAATTTTTTATTATTATTTTGAGTCATGTCGGGTCGAGTTTCTAATTCATATATTAAATAAAAATAGTTTTAGGTATATTATTTGGTAACTAATTAACATACTCCGATTGGCATGTATCGAAATATTGCTCTATCTTTTGGTAACTTATTAACATATTTTGATTGCGATGATTTTAACTTAAAATGTTTATTAGCATGATTTTTATAATTTATTGAAATGAATAATAAATTAATAAAATGAAAATTTAATATTTTTAAATTTTTTATAATATATTACTACATGTAAATTGTAAAATAAACTAAAATAAAGCAAAAAAACAAGAAGGACAATTCTATCATTTTACATTACTAAAATCAAATTCATCTGACATGTCTGCGAACTAAACAGAATATAGAATTAGATTCCAATTCTATTTCCTGCAAACCAAACAGAATATGGAATTGGATTCCAATTCCTATAGATTTCAATTCCTTCACAGATTCCAATTCCCTCATAAACATTCCAGCGAACCAAACGCCACCTTAATGAATTTAGGACGCATTACCTAAAAAAATATGAGGAATCAAAGATGAACAATTTAATCAATCAACCAAGTTGATTCGAAATGATTGATATCAGATATCAGATGCTATCTAATTCGAAATTACTGATATCTAAAAATCCATATCACTAAAATTGCGATCCAAATCCGATCCGAAAAAAGTCGAATATCTAAATATCTGAATCCAAACATAAAGCTTACTTTTAAAAAATAAAATAAAATATTATATATATGTATATATTTGTTTTCCTTTATCCTTGTAATCTAATGTTTTCTGAATCTTAAGGGTGCGTTTGGTTCACGGAATGGAAGATTACCAGTGGGAATGTAATATTACCAGGAAATAGGATTACTCGGAATGTTTTAGTTTGTGTTTGGTTGGCTTAGCGGGAATGTAAGATTACAATGTTTGGTTAAAATAATAAAAGATTATTGAAATGTATATTTGACCAAATTGTCCTTATTATATATTTGTTTTTTAACAAGTTGGAAAATATTTATATATTTTCTTTAAAAAATTTAAATTCATAAAATTTATATAATTTTTTTATAAAATTGAAAATATAAAAAGGTTTAATGAAAGGGTAAAATTTTATTTTAACCCCTGAACTTCATATAAAATTGTAATTATAGACTTTTTTTTTGTAAATCTAAAATAATTTAAGGATAAATTTGTAATTTAACATTCGTAGAATTTTTATTATTCAATGACAGAAAAAAAGATATTTAAAAAAATTTTAAGGGCATTTTAGTCCAAAACGCCGGGAATCGAACAATACCTAAAGAAATGGAAGTAATGACATTCCCGATAATATACCCCAAAAAATCCACTATTGATAATCTTACATTACCGGGAATGAGATTCCCAGACTAGATACTAAAGAGATATTTTAATGTAAATTTACCTGAAAAATGAGTGTCAATTGTCTGCTCGTGAGCTACCATGTGAATGATGCAATTTGAAAATTTCGAAAAATTGAACCCAAACAATTAACATTTGGGAGTTTTAGGAATGATGTCCAAATGAAAGCCGAGCAATCGTGGGGCCATGGAGCATTTCAGGCAAGGGGCGGGCTGACCGGATGGATAAATTATTCTAACGGCCCAATGTTTTTTGGATTTTCAGATAATCCGAAATCATAATATATTCTATCCGATCTGATTATCCGATTTTTTCGATATTCGATACGAGATATCCGAAAATCAAAGAACAGATCGAATATCCGAATTTTCAGATCGAATCAACGGATCAGATCATTTTGCACACTCCCAATTTAAACTTTAAACATGCTTCATCCAATACGAACCTCCATTTAAAGTGTATATTGATGGCTAACTTGATAGAAAGACCTCGTTGATACAATATTGATATTTTGATGATTCAATTATTATCTTTCAAAGTTAAATAAATTTATGACAGACATATATTATTCATCTTAAACTAACTTCTTTTAATTTTATAATTATTTTTATTAAATTTTCAATACCTTTATAAAACTTATAACATTTAGCCATCGCTCTAAAAAATAAGAGAATTCTTGGTCTCTAGTTTTTGATTCAATGATAGTTTAGGTCTAACAATTTGAATGTTTATTCTATTAAGTTTTGTCCCTTAAATTTACATTAAAAAATGTGCATAAATATTATCAAAAAAGCATATGTACATATTAAATACATGTGTCAGCATGAGTTGAACAATAACTACGAGTATATATAATTTGCATCTTTAGTCGCTCAACGAGTATATGGTTAAAATGTTATATTTAAACTTTTAAAAAACTAAATATCTATATAATGTGAAATTTGAGATTCTCATTATCAAATTTATTGATTTTGGGTCGTCAAATACAAATTACGAACTTAACGAGACTAATATCAATACGATAATTAAAGAAACTTTTAAATACTTCCAGAGAATCGTAGAAGGTAACAACTGATAGAGAAATAACATCTTTGATGTTGTAGTAAGAAAGTGCCTATTTTAGTTCTTCATGATGATGAAGAAGTCATGTGAAGTGCCACCAAGGAAGCGTAGAAACCATCTTTGATGTTTATCAAGGTCTGATGCTTTCCCTTCTCCACAATAACCCCATTTCTAAGCACTGCAATAACATCTGCATTCTTGATCGTTGATAACCGATGCGCAACGACAACAGTCGTGCGGCTGACCATGACTCGGTCTAGTGCTTCCTGAACCACTTGCTCTGATTCAGCATCCAATGCACTTGTGGCTTCATCCAAGAGCAATATCTTCGGACTCTTAACTATGGCTCGTGCGATCGCCACTCGCTGCTTCTGTCCACCTGACAATTGAACCCCTCTCTCCCCTACTACGGTATCATAACCCTGTAATATGAATTAAAACGAAAAAGGTTAGGAGATAATTTTACTCCTTAATGAAGCTAGCAAGTTAGCGCAATGCTTTAGAATGTCTCACATGTTGTAGGCTACTAATGAAGTTGTGGGCATTGGCCAGCTCCGATGCAGCTAAAATTTCAGCCTCGGTCGCATTCCCTCCCTTTCCGTATGCAATGTTGGCACGTATGGTGTCGTTGAACAAAACAGGTTCTTGGCTTACAAGTCCCATTTGTTGCCTCAACCATTTTAATTGCAGCTTTTGTATTTCAACTCCATCTAGTGTAATGTGACCCGAATCTAGATCATAAAATCTCTGCAATAGTGAGATTACGGTCGACTTCCCGCAGCCGCTTTCTCCGACTAAAGCAACCGTCTGAGACAAGAGAATTACATCATGAAAAGTTAAACAAACCTTATAGGATCAATTTTGTGTATGTTGAAACTTGAAACTTGAAAGAGATTAAGCTCAAAATGCAATGAATGATTTACCTTGCCAGCAGGAATAGCCAAGCATAAGTCTCGGAAAATTTGAATGTCTGGCCTTAATGGATACTTAAAGCTCACATTAGAAAGCTCGATTTCGCCTTTCACATTTTCTAGTATCACCCCTGACTCGTCACCTGGGTTTATCTTCGATCTCTGATCGATAATAGCGAATATGGAAGCTGCGGCTGTCTTTGCTTTGTTGGAATCAGAACCAAAGGTGCTTGATTGACTGATTGCAAGAGATGCTATCGTCAATGCAAAGAAAACCTGGAAATGAATATTAATTTCAGTATCAAAGAAACATGTTGAAAGAATATCCGGATAATTCGAAGGAGCAAGAAGAGCTACTTGAAAAACATCTGAGAAAGTAGCATGATCATGCTCCACAAGTTGAGCTCCGACATAGAAACTCGTCGCATAAACAGAATACATTAAGAAGGCCGACAGCCCGAATCCTATTCCGCTGATCAAACCCTGCCTTATCCCCGTCTTCATCGGGTTTTGGCATTTCCTTTTGTAAAGACGAATCACTTTCTCCTCAGCACAGAAGGAAGCAATTGTTCTTATACCTCCGATTGCGTCATTAGCAACTTGGCTTGCTTCCTCGTACATCGTCTGCAAACAATTAGACTAACATTAAGGTAAACTGTATTGTTAAACCATATAGCTTTCTCTCTACGAAGAATTTATAACCCGATATAAATTTGAGGCGATACGATTATCATTTCCACCTTGGAGTTCATAGTGTTAACAAGGTGCGGGAATAAATTGCTGGTCATTAGCTTTGGCCATACCTTTGCATCTGCACTAAATCCCTTCATGAATTTCATTTGAATGTACCCGTCGATTCCTATCAGAGGAAAAAGTGCGAGGACGATCAAAGCCAACTGCCAACTTGCAATGAAAGCAATGACCAAACCTGCAATGGCTGATGCAATACTTTGAACAATTTTGCTTAGTGCATCTCCAACAAGAGAACGTAATGTTGCTGCATCTGCCGAGAGCCTTGCTCCAAGTGAACCGCTTGAGTGCTCGGGTTCGTCAAACCAACTGACCTCCATGTGAATCACTTTCTGAAAACACATTGATCTTACTCGCTGGATTAGTTTACATCCAGCAACAGAAAAGAGGTATGTTTCTGCTGGATATGCCAATAATGAGGCCAAGCCAAGAGCCATAAATATAAGTGCCCAGAATCTTGAATCCTTTCTAAGTTCATTAGGTGGTTTGTAAAAGGTTTTGATGGCTTCGGAAAGGAGCAATGCATAAGCAGGAAGGACTAATCCATTGACAACTGAAGCTATAGTTCCAAGTAGAAGCACAGGAATCTCCGGCTTGTTGAGAGATGCAAGCCGATGAATTGAGACTTCCGAAGCCTGTACTGGTGGTATTGTAGGAGGAGCTTCTGCATCTGCCAACACATTATCCGTGACATTTTGTCCTGTAGTTGAACCCCTACTGATAGATTTCTCCAACGACATTCTAGGACTTGATTTCTCAATATTTTCCGATCCATTTTCATCATCCGGTTCCTGTTCTAACTCTTTATTTACCTCTTGTAAACGTATAAGCTGAGAGTAAGCTCCATTGGGATCCTTGAGCAAAGCACAATGAGACCCTGATCAATCAAAAACCATGTTATATGCAGTTGGCAACATGACAATGGTTATGTTACTGCAGACAAATAAGTTGAGTTGAGTTATATGGCTATGATTTATCATACCTTTTTCAACCATCTTTCCTTGATGAATAACAGCTATCATATCTGCGTTCCTCACCGTGCTCAGGCGATGAGCAACGATAACAATAGTCCGAGTAGTCATTATTCTGTCTAGTGCCTCTTGCACTGTTCTCTCAGATTCTGCATCTAGTGCACTTGTAGCTTCGTCTAAAAGAAAAATCCGAGGATCTTTTAGAATTGCTCTTGCTATCGCCACTCTCTGCTTTTGTCCACCAGAGAGCTGAGTTCCATGCTCACCCACCATGGTGTCTAGTCCCTATCAAAAATGCAAAAGAGTAGACGAAAAATTTAAAAATCGTAAGCTTTGAGATATGAATCAGGAAGTAGCCATTTGAAGAAGACATTAAAACCTGAGGCAGTTTGTCGATGAACTTGGCAGCATTAGCGAGTTCAACTGCAGCTCTTATCTCTTCACTTGTTGCCCCTTCATTTCCGTATGCAATATTATCCCTAATGCTTGATGAAAACAACACAGGTTCCTGGCTGACAAGGCCAATCTTTCCCCTGATCCATTTAAGCTGAAATTCCTTGAGGTTGATGCCATCGATAAGGACTTCACCACCTTGCGGATCATAAAATCTCTCTATGAGACTGATTACAGTTGATTTCCCGCTTCCACTTTGTCCAACCAGAGCAGCTGTTGTGCCACTGGGAATGGAAAGAGAGAATCCATTGAAAATTTGCTCATCCGGTCTTGCTGGATAACTGAAACAAACATCATTCAAATTGATATCCCCTCGAATATCCTCCAATACTTTTCCATTTGTGTCATAAGCATCTATCTCAGGCTTCCTTTCAATAGTCTCAAACATCTTAAATGCTGCTGCTTGACCAGAAGCAAATGCATTCAAGCTGGGAGATGCCTGCCCCAGGGACCTGAATTTTCGTAAGCGAAATGAGAAAATTAACCCTCTCCTAGCAAAATAACGTGTGTTGCAAGGAAAAAAATGATTCGGTATTTAACTCACATGGAACCAGTCATTATAGCAACGATAACACTGACTACTTCACCACCAGTGTAACCATTTTCCAGAATCATCCTCCCACCAAACCATACAGCCAACGCATAACTGCAGAAAACGACCAACATGATCAATCCAAGTCCTATTCCAGAAACAGATCCTTGGTAAACACCTGATCTGTAGGCGCTAACAAGAAACTTGTTGTAATTGCTCATGGCTTGCTTTTCACCAGCAAATGATGCAACCTGTTATCAGATCAAGCAGGAGGTCATATAAAAAGTAAACAATATGCTGAGTATATTTCTGGCTGTAAGACCTACCGTTCGGATTGAACCGATTGTCTGTTCAACTACAGCTGCTGCTTTTGCATAAGCATTCTGTCCTTGGGATGCTGTGTTGGCTACAGTGAGGGACACTGTCGCACCGGCAATCACGAGAAGAGGCAGAGAGGACAACATCACAAGTGTAAGAAGCCATCCTCTGATAAATGCCACAACGAATCCTCCAATGAACATGGATATCAACTGTAAAAATTTCCCAACCTGCAAAAATCAAGCGGACATCTCCATTATTACACAGACAAGGTGAAAATGGAACCTAGTATTATGATACCTTCTCGCCCATGGCATCTTGTATTAGAACAGTGTCACCAGACATCCTCCCGACGACCTCTCCCGTGTTTGTTTCCAAATCAAAGAAGGCAATATCTTGTCTCAGTATGGTTTTCAAGTACAAGCCCCTTATTCTTGCAGCTTGTCTCTCTCCTGTGACCATCCAGCAGGTCACTTCTGCAAAATCACAAACACACAGGCTTCTCAGTTTCTTAATGCATAACGAAAACTGCCTCAAATAAAATGTCTAGAAGAGATATGCAAGATGCACTTACGGAGAAATCCCGCCACCGCAGCCCCTACGCCTAGGTAGACAAAGTTCAGAGCAACCTAACAACAACAACAAATCATAATCTGTGAAACTAAATTCCAGTCATTCACTTGTATTAGCGACAACAAACATTGTAAAGTAAGCTCATGAGAAATTGTTACCTCAGAAACCGAATTGACCACCTCATTGTTGTTTTGGTTTTGTCCAAAAGAGTCTGTAAGCTCCCCGAACAATATTGTCATGAGGGGCATACTTATGCCATTTCCAATGGCACCAATTGTGCCAGCGATCATTAACAAAACATCTGTTGCATCAGCAAATGCAAACAGTTTGAAGAAGGGGACTGTGTTAGTCTTCTCATTTCCTTTGGGTGTCTCGAGGTTTCGATTTCCGCCATTCATGCCACGGTCTTTCTCCGGAACTAAGCCGCTTTTTGACACGCTTGCCTCATTCAAGTCAAAGTCGCCATTGAAGCTATTATCAATGGTCATCGTGTGACACCTAAGATTTGATCCGTAATTACTTCAAAAGCCATAGAACTTATATTTCGTCTGCAAGGAGTAATGATGATCAATGAAGTGAAAATATCATATAACCAAAGGCATTCTCTTTAAAAATGGAACTAAGAATTTATGGTATGCAGTTGGGGAATGGAAGGACTTATAAATACATGAGCTTCTGCTTTTGTAATCTTACAAGACTTTTCAACTACAAAGACATCATTTGATGGATAGCACCAGGCTCGCCATTCTTTAAAATTAAAAGGGTTGACCACAAAGTATAAATTGCTTAGTTGACAAGGAATTGAAAATCAAAATTTAGTCCCATTGGCTGAAGCATTGACATAAGAAAACATCATATTAACCACCCATTGGCTAAAGCATTAGATATAATATTTGACGAAACAGTATCAAGCTGCCAAGGATTTATGCACCAATTATTACTACTGAAAGTATCCAAAAAAATAAAAATAAAAAACCTGAACTTCAGCTACCTACGAGGCAAAGGAGACAACACAGAGAAGGAAAAATAAATAAAACAGAATGACTCCATAAAGAAAAAGATAATTTTCCTTGCTATCTGAGGAATAAACAATTTAGGGTTCTTGTGATCAATAGGTTTTTTTCCCCCCATTTTCATACAATAATTGATCACTGGTTTCGCTTTGCAATTATTTGATATGCTTTTAAATTCTTCGTTTTCTGTTTTTCCACCCCCGGAATATCATGAACATGTTTTCCCATCAACGAATTCAGCTGAAACTTCAAAGAAGCTGCAATATGTCATGATCACTGGTCCTAACAATTTCTTTTCTGGGGACCATTTTAATCCCAAAAGGGAAAATCTGTGAAGGAAACAAATGACGTCCGTCTAGATGGGTTGAAGTCTAAACTCAACAAAGGCTGATAATTTGCTAGCAAAATTCAACAATGAAAGATCAGTTTGCCTTGGCCCTCAAGTGCAAGCAAACCCAAAAAGTTGCTCATTTGCTTCTGTCGCTGCCACTACTACCTTGTCCCTTATGTGTGTTTAGTTAGCATAATAATTTTTTTTCAAGTCACGTACTAATATCTGCTTTAACTTCATCTTCATACGGAAAAAAATATTATTAAGGATAACTCTTTTTTTTTTCATTTCGAGAATTTTATTCTTATTCATTCTTTAAGCATTTATTGTCTTGGTAAGAGAAATGTGGCGGTTGATGGCGGTGATAATAGCAAACGGCAACAACAACAACAACAACAACAAAAGTTAGACAAGAGAATAAAATTTCAAGTTATTTTAAGGGGGTGAAAAATTGAATTTTTCAAAAATTTAAGAATTAAATTAGATATTAATCATATTTATTAACGTGTCACGTCAATAATTTAAAAGAGGTTAAAGTTCGAGAGTTCAAATTCAACGGAACAGACAAATAATGGGTCACGGATTATGTTTTTGTGTAAGTAAATAATTTGAGCTGAGCCGAACTCAAAAGTTTTGCATCATCTTTGAAGGGTGATAAGTGTATAATTTGAGTTCCAACATTTGTAACTAACTAGTGTTGATGTGTTACAAGTTTTGCGAAGTGGAAGCAGTCGTGTGAAGTTGCACCAATGAAGCATAAAAGCCGTCTTTGATGTTTATCAAAGTGTCATGCTTTCCTTGCTCTACAATAAGCCCATTTTTAACCACGGCAATAACATCTGCGTTCTTGATTGTTGATAGCCTATGAGCAACCACGACTGTTGTGCGGTCCACCATGACTTTATCTAGTGCATCCTGAACCACTTTCTCTGATTCTGCATCCAATGCGCTCGTCGCCTCGTCTAATAGAAGTATCTTCGGACTTTTAACGATGGCTCGTGCTATGGCTACCCGCTGCTTCTGTCCTCCTGACAATTGAAGTCCTCGTTCCCCGACGACGGTGTCGTAACCCTGGATTATAGTTGAAAAGGTCAGTGACCAGTCATCAGTCGAGCGTATTCGCCAACATGTATCTAACCTGTTGTAATGAACTGATGAACTTGTGAGCATTGGCCAACTCTGATGCAGCTACGATTTCTGCCTCGGTTGTATTTCCCCCCTTTCCGTATGCAATGTTGGAACGGATTGTATCGTTAAACAAGACAGGTTCCTGGCTCACAAGTCCCATCTGTTGCCTCAGCCATTTCAGTTGGAGTGTTTTGATTTCGACTCCATCGAGAGTGATAACTCCGGACTCAGGATTGTAAAATCTTTGCAATAATGATATTATTGTAGATTTCCCACTCCCGCTTTCTCCAACCAGGGCGACGGTCTGAACGAAATGAAAAGATTGAAATTCGTATGATTTTAGTCTCTATGATTATGTTGATAAGTGAAGTGTTTGTCCGTTCGATATGGAAACAGGATCAATACCATGCCAGCTTGAATAGACAAGCTCAAGTCTCGGAAGATTTGAATATCTGGCCTTGATGGATACCTAAAACTGACATGACGAAGCTCGATATTTCCCTTCACACTTTCTAGTGTCCTCCCGGACTCATCACTAGGATCTATCTTAGACTCGCGGTCGATAATTGCAAATATGGAAGCAGCCGCCATCTTGGCTTTGTTGGAATCAGGAGCAAAGGAACTTGATTGAGAAATTCCAACAGCTGCCATGGTTAAAGCTAAGAAAACCTGCAAAATAGATATTGGTCTCAGTATCACAGGAACATACAAAGAAAATATGATGGCTTGGAAGAAAAGAAAAGGACCAAGGATGACAGGCTCACTTGAAAAACATCTGCAAATGTCGCCTTTCCGTGTGCCACAAGTTGAGCTCCTCCATAGAAACTTGTCGCATAAACAGAAAACAAAAAGAAAAACGAAAGTCCATATCCTATTCCACTGATCAAACCCTGTCTTATCCCTGTTTTCATCGGACCCTCACATTTCTTTTTATAGAGTTGCATTACCTTTTCCTCTGCACAAAAGGAAGCAACTGTTCTAATACTCCCGACTGCATCATTAGCAACTTGGCTGGCCTCCTCGTACATCATCTGCAACCATTTATATTTACATATGGAAGTCATAATATTCTTATAAATATGTTATTTTTCGCAATTATTGAACTAATGTTCGACCATACTTTTGCATCTGCACTGAATCCCTTCATGAATTTTGCTTGAATGTATCCATTGACCCCTATCAGAGGGATCAATGCTAGGATAATAAATGCCATCTGCCAACTTGCAACGAAAGCAATGACCACACCAGCCAGTGCTGATGCAAAGCTCGAGACTATCTGAGCTAGTGCATCTCCGACAAGGGAACGTATCGAGGCTGCATCTGCTGAGAGCCTTGCACCAATTGAACCACTTGAATTATTGGGTTCATCAAACCAACCAACTTCCATGCAGACCACTTTATCGAAACATGTTGCTCTGATTCGTTGGATTAATTTACAACCAGCGATAGAAAAGAAGAACGATCGTGTTGGACATATCAATAATGATGCCAGGCCAAGGGCCAAAAATATCAGTGCCCAGAATCTCGAATCCTTTTTCAATACATCAGCTGGCTCATAAAATGTTTTGATCATACGGGAAATTAGGATACCGAAAATCGGAAGTATCACACCATAGGCAGCTGAAAAAATAGTTCCAATTAAGATCACAGGAATCTCTGGCTTGTTGAGGTAAGCAAGCCGCAGGATAGAAACCTCTGGAGGCGGTTTCGATGATGGTTCATTAGGATCTTCTGTATCTAATGTAGGATCAATGACATTCATTTCAGTAGGTAATCCAAAAGGTTCTGGGAAAGAATTGCTGCTGCTATTTCTAGGTGATCCCTTGCTGAATGATCGCTTCAACGGGCTTCTTAGGATTGATTGTCTAAATGGTTCTGCAGTAATGTCTGATACATCTGCAACATGTTCCGACTGTTTATTTACTTGTTGCAAACGAGTAAGCTGAGAGTAAGCTCCCTCAGGATCCTTGAGTAGTTCTGAATGTGACCCTGCAGAATTCAAAGAAACATTATCAGACAGTGAAAAATATGTAGATATGGAGCATGAAACTGCTAATAGTATGCAGGCAAAATCACAGTTTAGTGAGTGGAATAAAAATGCATCCTCTTGATAACACACTTCTGTTAGATAGCACCATTTCCGATCAAGTTGCAAAGTTCGAGATATACAAACTATAAGTAGTAACCTACCTTTTTCAACCATCTTTCCTTGATGAATTACGGCAATTGTATCTGCATTTCTAATGGTACTCAAGCGATGAGCAACAATGACAGTAGTCCTATTGCTCATTATCCTGTCCAATGCCTCTTGCACGATTCTTTCGGATTCTGCATCGAGTGCACTTGTAGCTTCATCTAAAAGCAAAATTCGAGGGTTCTTCAGAATTGCTCTTGCAATTGCAACTCTCTGCTTCTGGCCACCAGAAAGTTGAGTTCCATGCTCTCCAACCATGGTATCTAGTCCCTATACATGGAGTCCGAAGCTTCAAAAGCAAATCAAAATGTACAATTCGCAAATAAAAGTACCAAGGCATAAGGTAGAACTAATTGAACGATAAATTAAAACCTGAGGTAATTTATCAATGAACCTAGCAACATTTGCAAGTTCAGCCGCCGTTCTTATCTCTTCCATGGTTGCACCTTCTTTTCCATATGCAATATTATCCCTTATGCTTGAGGTAAACAACACCGGTTCCTGGCTAACAAGACCGATCTTTCCCCTGATCCATCTAAGCTGGAATTCCTTAAGATTAATGCCATCAATAAGAACCTCACCGGCTTGTGGATCATAAAATCTCTCCATCAGACTGATCACAGTCGATTTCCCACTTCCACTTTGTCCAACCAAGGCAGCTGTTGTGCCACTCAGAATAGAAAGAGAGAATCCACTGAAAATTTGCTCCTCTGGTCTGGCAGGGTAACTGAAATGAACATCCTTCAGTTCTACATCCCCACGAATGTCCTCCAACACTTTCCCACTTATGTCATAGGTGTCGATCTCTGGTTTCCTTTTGATGGTCTCAAACATCTTAAATACTGCAGCTTGACCGGCTGCAAAGGCAGTCATGCACGGGGATGCCTGCCCCAGGGACCTACAACATCCATAAGTACCAAGGAACTTAGCCTATTAAGCATGCATAAAGTAGAAATGGAGAGAATTCAAATTTTAAACGCACATGGAACCGGTCAATATGGCCATAATCACATTAAGTACTTGACCGCCAGTGTACCCTTTCTCCAAAATCATCTTCCCACCAAACCAGACAGCCAAGGCATAACTATAGAATAGAATTAGCATAACTACGCCAACGCTTAGTCCAGCAGTAGTACCTTCCTGGACGCCTGATTTATAAGCGGTAACGAGTGACTTGTTGTAATCATTTATGGCTTGCGTTTCGCCAGTAAACGATGCAACCTGAAATCAGATCGAATGATCGGTTATATACTTCCACCGAACAATAAAAGCAAAATCAATGACTGCAAATAATTTCGATATGGAACTTACAGTTCGGATTGAACCAATTGTTTGTTCAACTACAGTAGCAGCTTTAGCATAAGCATTTTGTCCACGGGTTGCCAGCTTGGATATCATTATAGCTATAGTTCCAGCGGATAGTACAATTAGAGGGATAGCGGATAACATGACGAGGGTAAGAAGCCATCCTCTGACAAATGATACGACGAAGCCTCCGAAGAAGGTGGATATCAACTGCAAAAACTTCCCGACCTGCGAAAAATAGGTGTATATTCCATGGTTACATGTAAATGATGATTTCCATGAAAATACTTTACTCAACAAGGATTCTAAATGATGATTCCTATACCTTTTCGCCCATGGCGTCCTGTATGAGAACTGTGTCCCCAGACATTCTGCCAACAACTTCCCCTGTGTTTGTTTCCACATCAAAGAAAGCAACATCTTGCCTCAATATGGTTTTCAAGTACAGGCCCCGTATTCGTGCAGCCTGTCTCTCACCTGTGACCATCCAGCAAGTCACCTCTGAAAAACAAAATCCAAGCTTTAAGTACGTCAGTGGTAATCATAAATAAAGCAATACGATTTGAAGGAGAGGTCTTCTTACGAAGGAACGCGGCCACCGCTGCCCCCATCGCCAGGTAGACGAATCTCAAAGAAACCTATGATTTTTGTTTAAGAATTCAGTTAATAAATCCCCATGTGAAATGATGGATACAATCTTATAAGCTAAGTTGATGCTACATGCCATATACCTTGGAGACTGCTTCGACTACGTTGCCATTACTCTGGTTGTTCCCAAAAGAATCAATGAGATTCCCAAACAAGACTGTCATAAGGGGCATCGATAGACCGTTGCCGACGGCAGCGGTTGTGCCGATGATCATTAACAAGATATCCTTAGAATCAGCAAATGAAAACATCTTGTAAAATGGAACCGTGTTAGTTTTCTCAACTCCTTTGGTGCTCTCAGGATCTTGCTTTTCTCCCTTCACGCCAGAGACTTTCTCCGGCTCTTCTTGGCCATTCGATGCGCTGGCTTCATGCAAGTCACTATCTTTATCACCATTGAAATAATTTTCGGAGGCCATTGAGCTGCTTCCAAGATATATATTACTTTGATACTCAACAACCAAATAAATCTATAGGATTTACTGTATTGTAGCTGCAGCAGACAAATGAATATTAATTGGTCAAACAAATGAATACAAAAGCCTATTAATTTAATAATAATTATACTCTCACAAGTCACAACTCATCTACAAGAAGAAGAAAAGAGAAAAAATTGCAGAAGCTGAAATTTTCCTCGATAACCAGTGGGAAAATGAGTGAAGAAAATAAGTTAAAAAGAGCGTCATCTGAGTATAAAACCAAAACCAGATACCCACCAAACTCACCGTGAAAGAAAGAAATACAGAAGAAGAACGCAGAATAATGAGAATAAGAGAGTTCGAAAGAAACACTATCAGGGATTTGGAGATTCATTTAGGTCCATCTTTGTTGAAGGCTGGACTCTGTTGGTTGAAAAGCATATGTATATGCTCTTTGCCTTGAGAAGCAAGCCATTTTTCCCATGTAAAAAAAAGTTTCTGGGATTTTTTTGGTCAACCGCATCCCAGTTGTTTTTTCCTTTGACCCAAACAATAATGAAATGCCATAAAATTTAAGAGTGATGGTTTGGAGTTGTGACTCACCACTGAAAAAGACGCATCGTTCCCATAATAAAATTGCAGAAGGGATCAAGAAGTAGAAACAACACCTCCTTCACCCTCTTCCAGCGAATAATATCTATTAGTGAGTTCTACTTTGAATCCAAATTCCTTCGTTCTGATAGCATTGGCGTTGCAAATTTAAAGGTTTGAGGTTTAAAACTTCAATGGTTTTGGCAATGGACAACAGGAAATAGAAAACATCAAATACATACACCAGTGTGGTTCATTGCCTGATCGTCTTTGAATCATGAATTCCAGCAATTTAGCATCTAAAAGCTTGAAATTTTCTTATTAATAATAGGTCAAACAACCATGGTGACATAGCATAAATTATAGATCAAAACTTAAATCTTAAACAAGAAGCAAAACAACCCAAATAATAGAGATTGGAGCTGTCGTATTCTTCGTCGGAATGTATGTCTCCCTCCATGGAAAACATTCAATGGCAATCTTCAAAAAAGCAAATCTATTACCATCTTGAACTAAACAATGAAACAATAATAGCCGAACTAAGCAAATATAAAACGTGACTGTAACACTCAAACCTATCGATCTGGTGCAAGCAATGATGTGAAAAATCATCGATGTTTGATCGAAGAAATAGAGGGCGATGGGATAATCTCCACACAAACACACGCCACCGAAGGATTAACCCAAAAAACAGTGATAATAATGGCTAAAACCCAACAATCAAACAGGAAGAAAGGAAAACAGAGGACAAAGGAAGACGATAAGGGATCATCGCTCTACCACTAACAATGCGAACAAAATCACCATGGCGCTACAGAACCACCACATCATTGCCTACGCCGGACCTTCCTTAAAAATTCTGATACAACCATGGTTTTCAGAACCGAACCGGTTAGCGAACCGGTCATGCTATCGGTTCATTGGTTCAATCGGTCGAAAGAACCGGACGACGTCATAATTATTTAAAAAATTAAATAAAAATACAAAAAATATTTAATAAAAAATAATTTTTTATATCACAAGTCATATTCAAAGCAAATCATAATATATATAAATTAAAAACCATAAAATCAAGTAAAACAAAATGATTTAAATTAACAACAACATAATATTTAAGGTAAAACATATTAAATAATAAATATAATTATATAACTATAATTAAAAAATAAATTTGGGGCTAAAAAAATCATAACAAAATGATATTGTTTGATTTAATTTTTTTTAAAACAATTCCACATGGATAAGAAACATAGAAGAGCATCACAAAAGTCTAAAGAATAAAAATATGAGAACAAAACAATCACACATTGCTAAGAAACATAGAAGAGCATTACAACTAACTTCTATAAATAATAGAGGTAATTTTTCATTCAAAATCATGGAGCCTTTTGGTGAGCATTGAGTGAACTATTCTTTCACTTCAATCAAGCTCGAATTTTAGGTTTCAATTGAGCTTCTAATTTTTTTTTAATTCAAGCCTTTTTGAGTTCAAGTTTTAATATTATATTTTGAGTTCGAGTTGAACTTGATAATTTTTAACTTGTGAGTTTGAGTGGAGTTGAGCTTACTTTTAAAGTTTTCATGTTCGAGTCGAGCTCAGCAATACTCGAGTTCGGCTTAGCTCGTTTAACAAACGACGTTTGGTTTAATTTAAAAAAACAACAACAAAAATTTCAGTTTTTTATGATTTTTCCGGTTTTTAACTGATTCGGTTCGAATAGTTTAACGATTCTGACCGGTTCACTAATAACGATTTAACCGATTTAGATTGAATCAGATTAAGTAACGATTCCCGATTGAATCGGCCGATTCGATCCAATTTTCAAAATAGATGATACAACCGATAGAGGCATCAAAATATCAACTCACCAATGGAGATCATTCGTTAATACACGTGGCACTGATTCATTGGTGGGCATATGAAGGGGTATATAAAAGGGGCTGAAGATTTTCATTCCTGAATTTTGCGTCATTGTATGTAGAATTGTGGAGTGAGAAGATACGGTGTTATTTGCATGAGACAATTTTGGAGTGGATTATATTATCGGGATAGAGCCGATCAAAATTCGATTCGATTTAATTTTATAAAATTCGTCATATTAATCGGTAATCTTTTGTTTTACATAATTATTAAATAAGTCTTTGAATTTTGAAAGAATCAATTAAGCCCTCAATTTCTTTAACTAGAGTTTTTATTTCGAGATGAAATAGGAAAGAAAACCAGACACAGATCAAACCATGTGTAATCTAAAAGGGAAAGCCTCTTAAATAAATCCTACAACCCATGTCACCCATGACGCATATGAACATCATCATTTCATTTACAAACTTACCACTTGGATTTTAGCCCATGCTGTTTTGGCTTTGAATCATGTTGCATTAAAATAAATATTATAAAAAAGGGGACATATTTTCAAAATTTTGACGTGATGAAAACGAACTCGAAATAATATATAAAGAGAAGACGACCAAAATCCAAGCTCGCTAACTTGTATCCATTGTCTCTGTGTTGCAGAAATCAATTTCAGGGGGTGACCTAATAATAAATTATTGTAAGCTCATACTATCGTCATTTAAATACAATATTTGAATTATTTAAATCTTATTTCGTTTGAATTTATATTTTTTATGATTGTTATAGTAATGATTATGTCAATTGAATGGAAACTCAAATTAAAGGAAGTGACTTAATTATTCTAAAGTTTTAAAATTTTACTGTTGGTTGTTGAACGAATCGAGAGCTAGTTCTGCTGTACGACAACCTTAATATACAATCAAGAAAAGGTACCACCGAAAATATTAATATTTTTTAATATATCTAGTAAAGCACTACCTAAAACATTATTATTTTTACCGAAAATGTTAATTTCGTTAATTAATTTCTAGTAGAACTCAATATTAACATTTCTGATAGAAAAAAAATAATATTTTAGGTAAAATTTTACCGGAAATGTTAAACATTTTAGATAGCCGCTCAATATTAACATTTTCGGTAAAAAAAATAATATTTTAAGTAACACTCTACTAAAGACGTTAAAAATGTTAATATTTCTGATAACATCTCTTATTAATCGTATATTAACTGTATATTAAACATGTCGTACCACATACATTTCCAAATCTAGAGCTTGAGGCTTTTACGTTGTTTTGAATAGCATAGTCATTAATTACTCCGGCTTTAGTGTTGGATATTACAGATTCATTTGAACAAATAGAGAGCTTGCGTCACGTTAGATATAATGATGGACCTATAAAATTATACTAACGTCGATCTAAATCAAAATTCAGATGAATAAAGACCCCACATTCCGAAATAACAGAAAAGCCTAGTATACGTCTCTACAAGCATTCTCTACAAGAAGCTTATTTTCCTATACTTATAGATGGTAAAGGCTGCTTGGCTTAAGAAGAAAAAGGTCGGCAAGATTAGGCTTAAAATAATGGCAATAAGTAGGGATGGGCATGGACCCGAATCAGACGGATTTTGATTTAATTCGATGGATTTTGATTTAATTCGACGGATTTTGATTTTAATCCGACTCGATCGGGTCGGCTTATTTTTAAAAATTTTGGGTTTGGGTCGAGTCGGATTTAGGGTGAAAAAGACCTGACCCGAAAAAAGTTTATAATTTTACTTTATATATTTAGGAATAATTATAATAATATCCCTTCATATATTATTTTTCAATTAAGTCACTATTTTTATTGAATAAAAATAATATTTTTTATTATTTCAGGTCGGGTCGGGTTTTTAAATTATATATCAAGTCGGGGTCAGGTCGAGTGAAATCTTATTTTGGTTGGGTCGGGTCTCGAGTGGAGGATTCCTTGATCTCGGGTCGGGTGGACCAAAACCCTAACCCAACCCGACCCATGTCCAACCCTAGCAATAAGGGCATAAGAGGTCATGTAATTTTAAAAAAAATTAATGTGACCTTCTTGTTATTTTTTCTTCTAACATAATCTTTTAACTTAGAAAATAAGTCTAATGTAGCCCTTTTATCAATGCTTTTCGTCATTGGTCGTTACGGTGCTAATGTGACAGTTTACGATGTTGAGATGCTCCATAGTGTTAACGTGACAATTTATAGTGGTTGATAACATGACGAATAACATGACAAATGAGCTAATTTGATAACTCAAACATGACAAGTGAACTGTCACATTAATATTGTGGACCGTCTCGTCGACACCATGAATTGTCATGTTAATACCGTAACTTTCAAATGATGAAAAACGTTAATCAAAGAATCATATTAATTTTATTTTTTGAATTAAAAAATCACATTAAAATAGAAATTATATGAAGGTGACATTGATTTTCCCAAAAGTATAAACTATTTATTATACATTTTTGCCTAAAATAATCAAATTATGTGTTAGGCTTAAAAGGTTAGGCAAGGTATTTATAGGGTGCAAGGCTAGTAAAAGTTGGTAAGGTTAGGCTTAAAATAATATAACAATAAATTTTATGATATAAAATGAGAAATTTAATGTAATAAGCAGAAGACAACACTAAAAGAAATGAAAAAAAAAACCCAATTAGTTTGTGGACATGGGGGAAATTCAATAGTAATTAGGCATGTAGATTCATGCAAGTAGTTTTGGTGTAAGTTGTTCATGTCTAAACAGTCGGTTAATCGTTATAACAGTTATGAGATTTTTTTAATTGTAACCTAACTATTAAGAAATTGTTAACTACTAACGGTTAATCGTTATTAACGGTTCGGTTATAAGTTAACCTACGGTTAACCTATTATAATTTTTTGTCAATTTTTTTCATAATTCATATTACAAAAAATGTAGCACTTAACACATACTTACACCGGTGTAAGTGAATAAAATAAACTGTAAGTAAATAAAATATATAAACAAGTGTAACACTTAAACACATACTACACCAGTGTAAGTATGTACATCTCCCAATATATATTTTTTGTTTCTCTCTAGTTCCAAGGCTTCGCCTTGATTAATCTGGATCGATCCGGGTCACACACCTGGTTTTGGTGAGTGAGTCTCCCAGCAGGGATTTTCTGCATAGACAATGACTCAAACCTGAGACATTGTTTAAGCGATATTAAGTTGCTTACCACTTAAATAAACCATCGTTTGTTACATCTCTCAATATATTAATACCTAACAATAAACATATAATTATATTAGTGTAAGTATGTTTCTATATTTTTAAAGAAATAAATAATAAAAAATATATATATTAAGTTATTTGTATACAAATTTTATTATATATATAAGTTATAAATAATAGAAACTTAAATCAAGTTACTTGTAAAAATATAATAAATTAGAAATATAATTATAAATTTAATTTATTAATGGTTAACCATTGGTTAACCGTTTATCAAAATGTATAATCGTAACTTTAATCATTAACTATACTTTTTAGTGGTTCGGTTAACCAAAATCGTTTAGTATTAACGATTCGATTAATTAACCTGTTAAATATAACAATTATACCGATTAACGATTACGGTTAACAGTTTTAGGTTTTTTTTAACACCCCTACTAATTGCAAGTAGTTTAATAAAATTGATGCAAAATGGTCACAATTTATACACAACTTTTATAATAAGACCGTTTTCAGGATCTAATCACCACCACGGTCCTGAAAATAATACAAGGTACAATGACGTTAACAAAACAAAATAATCAGAAATGTTTCTAAAATGGTCTTGTTTTATTTATTTTTAATATTTGAGCGCTGAACAAAGCAATATTTCAATTCAATCCATGACTTCAAGCATTGTTTTACTTTTTAAGTTAATTGCACCATAATCCTCAAGGTCTGACTCTCATTTTAAATTGATCCCTGAACTATAGAACATTTCAATTTCATTCACAAAGTAAAACTCTCATTCTAAATTGATTCCTCAACTCTTGAATATTTCAAATTCATTCCCAAAATATGACCCTCATTATAAAATGATGCCCAAACTTTTGAATGCTCCAACAATCCCCCTAAAATCATTTAAAAGTTTGGGGGCCAATATAGAATGAAGGCCATAATTTGGGGGTGAATTCGAAATGCTTAAAAGTTTGGGGATCAATTTAGAATGAGACTCATAGTTTAGAGATGCAATTAAAATATTTAAAAGGAGAATCATAGTTTGAGGAGGTGCAGTGCAATTAACTCTTACTTTTTAGATTAGTTTTGTCATGAGATGAGTGAAGGGCTGGCTATGGTCTTTCTCAACACACCATGTCATCAATCGGACACCCTTGTGGGGCAATGGCAGCGAACCCATGATGCCAACAGGGATGATGCTCGAGCCAGGAATCGGAACCATATGGACCGGAGGACCCCATCCGTAATCGACCTGGTTGAACCCCAATCGACCCCATTCTGATATAAACAAAGTGGTGTACCCTAGAGGTGCTAGAAATGGGTCCTTACCATCTCTCAAGTAATCTCCATTCTTGAATTTCGAAAACTCGATAGGTAGCTTAGTCTTCGCTTCTTGTATCAGTTCGATCACATAGATTGCTGATGCTTGTTTAAGCACGTCGCATGGGGCTGTGATCATTATCGGGAAGAAACAGTTGCCGTAGAAGCCTTTAGGCAAAGGAGGGTCCGTGAGTTGACGGCAATTCGCGAAGAAAAGAAGCCGGACTTCGGTACCTGCCTTGAAGTTTATTGCTTTTGTTCGGAGTCTCCAGAAATTGGCAGCTACGATTTCGAAAGTAGAGCAAGTTTGCCCTGTTGATTCGAGGAATTGTTTCTTTAGCTGATTGATTTCATCCATGGAAATGTCGATGCTCACATGCTCTAGCGGGTTGCCTAGCATTGGTATCGGCAAGTTTGCCAATTGGTCGACATTTTCTTGTTGTTTCGGAATTGGAAAAAAGTCCCTTTGCCACACCGGTGAGACGCTTAGATGTTCGACACCTCTCGCCAACTCCCCTACGGCGTTTAGGAACTGTGCCGATCCTAAACCGTCACATACAGTGTGGCAAAATATTAAGCCTATGACAAAACCTCCACATGCAAATTGTGTCACCTGAGGCAAAAACCAAGCACGATTGCATTAGGCTTTGTAAATTACTAGTAAATGTTGGTTTCAATTCAAGTTCTGGGTACCTGCATTTGTACAATAGGTTCCATGCCTTCACTTTTAGGAACTTGATCAGGGAGAAGTTCATCATAAGGAATGGAGAAGCTAGCATTATTGAAGTAATCGAATGCATTGAGTGTACAATCAGCTGATGCCTCGACGAACCAGGCACCTTCACCCGAACATTCGACGTGAAGCTGATTTTCACTGGACTCTTTTAGCCGTCCGGCGAGGGGATAGTAAGGCACCAAACCTTTCGACAAGGCTTCCCTAATAACCTTTGAAGCTTGAGGGCCATGTTTATATACATGCAACGTGCGAGTGTAGCATCTGAGGACCGGAACGTTATCGATGAACGACAAGTCCAGCTTTCCCGATGGTGTTTTCTGAGATGGAGTCACTAGGCTTCGTCTGGATCTGATAACACAAAGAGGCGACATTGGCAAGAACAAGGCTGATTAAGAAAGAAAAAGCACGATGCAAATTGGCTTATACAACAATTCGAACGGGACATCATTTTTATATCTGTATTTTAAGAACTAGACTAATCTACTTCTTGGCTTGGAAGTTCAATTTCGCAATGGAAAGAAGATAAGATTGCCCAACAGAGGTTGCGTGCTCATATATGTTAGGTGAGTTTCTTTTATTTTGTAAAGGCTGAATAAATTAATTTGAAATGAACGTGAATGCATAAAAAAATTTGTGATGAAAGATAATTTAATTATACGAGATCATTGATCTCTCTTAAATATGAGGTGATATGTGATGAATGCAACACGAAATGTTAAACTATCATAACAATAACAATAGACAAATCCGTTTCATAAAAGTAAAATGAACAAATATACTATAAAAAAAATACGAACAATTTAAAAATTATGTGTATAACAAATCAAAAATATAAATGATGTTTTGTTTATTTATATCTACATGAAAAGAAAACTAAATAAAACGAAAAAAATAAATGATATTTTATTTAACGTTCTTATCATCATTGTTGCTTTTAAACACTGACTTAATGTTATAATGTATTAAACACCAACTTGATGACATAAATAAATAGAGACTTGATCCGTAAAATATAACTCAAATAGTAGATCAATATATAAGATACCGATAATTATTAAAAAATAATAATGTTTTGGTCTATATTATTCAACTTAAGAGTACTATTCCGTGCCCTTTTTTGTTTGCTGCTATCTATGGTAATCCTAATGCTAGTAAGAGGAAAGCCCTATGGAGAGACTTGAGTAGTCTCAACATTAATAGTGGTCATTGGCTCTTAGCATGTGATTTTAATGCATTGCTTCATTGTGCAGAGAAGAGAGGGGGCTTGCGGAAAGGTGTTGTTTGCAATTTGTTCCAAAATTTTATGGATTACCATAACCTTATTGATCTTGGCTTCAAAGGTCCGCAGTTCACGTGGAATCGGGGAGGTGTGTTTGAGCGTCTCGATCAGATGATGGCTAACGATAATTGGAGTACTATTTCCCATAATTCTTCGGTGTATCACCTCACATGTATCAAATTGGACCACCGGCCCATTATTATCAGGACTTTGGAAAGCTGGCCCAAATAACCAATAGACTATTCAGATTCATGGCAGGATGGACTAAGCATCCAACCTTCAACAAGTTTATTCGAGATAACTGGAATTTCGATGGGAACATCATACAGGAAAATTGTAAACTCAAGAAGCAGCTAGCCTCTATTCAAGCGTCCATGGATAAATATGGATTCTCAGCTCTGAAGAGCTGAGAATCCATACTAAGTTAGAAGATGTGCTTGATCAGGAAGAAATTATGTGGAAACAGAAAACTTGTGATACTTGGCTTATGGAGGGGATCGTAATACGAAGCACTTTCATAGTTTGTGCTCTCATTTTCCGTAAAGCGAACAGAATCCGGGCTCTTCGTCTTTGTCATGGGGACTGGTGCTATGACGAGGCTACTCTCCGGGAAGAAACTACTAAATTTTACTCTAATCTTTACCAGGACGAGGGTGGTCGATGGGGCACCTTTCCAATTAAGAAGGTTTTTTCACGCCTTTTGGATAGTGATTTTCGTTATCTGGATACTCCGGTCACTTCTGAGGAAATCCGCAAAGCTTTCTTCGAGATGAGTCTTATCAAATCTCATGGGGTGGATGGTATGAATGCCTTATTCTTTCAGAATCAATGGAATACCATTGGTCCGTCTGTTTTTGCTTGGGTTATGGACATTTTTAACATAAGGCCCTTTGATCCAGAGATTAATAAGGCCATGATTGTTCTTATACCTAAGGTCAAGAATCCTGAATCGCTTGCTGACTTCCGGCCTATTAATCTGTGTATCGTTCTGTACAAACTTGTGATGAAGGTCATTGCCAACAGGTTCAAAACAATTTTCCCGAAGATCATAGTGCCTAATCAAGCTAGTTTCATCGTTGGTCGGAGCATCAATGATAATATTCTAGTTTCCCAAGAAGTCATTCATTCGACGAGAAATAAGGAGAAAATACACTAGATGGCTATTAAAGTTGACTTGGAGAAGGCGTACGACCGGGTTGCTTGGGATTTCCTCTCTAACACGTTTACGGACATTGGGTGCCTGACTCTCCTACATCGTCTAATCATGCATTCGGATAGTTCGTCAAGCTTACAGTTTCTATGGAATGGTTCTTTTTCTACTATCTTTAAACCTACCAAGGGTATAAGGCAAGGTTGTCTTCTTTCTCCATATTTATTTGTGCTCTGCATGTAGCGACTTGGTCAAAGTATCCTTTATGCTCAGAGAATGGATCTTTGGGAATCTATGGTATTGTCTCGGGGAGGACCCCAGCTAACCCATTTGTTTTTTTGTGGATAATTTGCTTTTGTTCATCAAGGCAACTACTAATCAAGCGTTCCTCAACCATGCTATTCTCAACCAATTCAGTAGGTTCTCGGGGCACAAGGTGAATTCTAGCAAAACTAAAGTCTTATTCTCCAACAACGTGCCCAAAAATCTCGCTAATGATATTTGCTCTGCTTTGGGTTTCCAATGATCCCATAATTTGGGGTCCTATTTGGGTATACCGCTCTTTCATAGTCGGATAACTAAAAGTACCTTTCAATTTATTGTTGATAAAGTCTGGGCGAAGCTTAATAATTGGACAATGTTTATCTTGTTGGTTGCATCACCTTCGCCAAGTCGACTCTCCTGGCTCTCCCCAACTATTTCATGCAGACGGTGGCAATTCTTAAAGGGGTGTGCGAGAGAATTGAATCTATTATCCGTCGTTTCATCTGGGAAGGAATTGATGATCATCCGAAAATGACCCTAGTTAAATGAGAGAATTTTTGTCAACCCACAACATGTGGTGCTCTAGGCTTACGTGATATCCGACCCCAAAATAAAGATTTCTTAATAAAGTTTGGGTATAATCTCTTAATGCAACAAGATTGTAATACCCCAAATATCAGCTCAGTGATCTTATTGAAAAGATTTAGAATTTGAGGATCTTTTTGAATAATTGATAAAAGATAAGAAATGATTTGGAATAGTGTTTAAGACCAATTAATGACAATGGATGATTATAGAGAGTATTTTGATCTTTTAGAGGCAAATGAATTTAAAATCATTTTTCTTTGGTATAGTATTAAAGGAAAGGGAGAGGGGAAAGCTAAGTCATAAAAGCCATCTTTCTTTTTCTTCTCATTCTTGTGGAAAAGCCATCCTCCATAGCTAAAGTGTAAGTTGAACAGGTAGTAAACATTTAATAAATATTACAAGGGCCATGTTCCATGTGAATCTGATGGAATTGTCATATGTTGAATTAAGATCATATTGGGTATATGTTGTTTGTCTCTAGAGATGATTAGATCATAAAGATATATATATATATATATAACTTCTCTGACTAATGTGATAGATACTCAATTGATTAAAGTAGAATTGTTTGATAATTTCACAAAAGTTGGGAATTTATAAATGTATTTTCAGATAGAATTATGGTGGTATCGGTACCATAGTATGGTAGTATCGATACCATGATAAGGGTATCGATACCAGGCAACATCGAACCTAATTTTGGTATCGATACCGAAAGGGGGTATCGGTACCATAGTATAGAAGTATTGGTACCGAGGTAGTAATAGCGATACTATGGAGCCATAAATGTTAAATATAGGTTAATATTGGTATAGAAAGTTAATGATATGTTCTTTTGAGTATTGTTTAAGTATAATGGTTAGGAAATATTCTAACATTGGGTATGGTACATGTTTTTATGGATGCTTGAGTAGATCGGAACCAAGCTCCCAAAACAAGCAAAACTAAGGGCAAAGACAAAGTACCGGAGTAATCAGCCTTACATTTTGGATACATAGCTATAAAAGTCAGGTGAGTACATTTAATTGTGTAACTATATGTTGTACTAATCATATACGTATGGTTATTTAAATATGTATGTAGTGAATACCAAATAGGAACTATGTGTGTAGATCCACAGAATTCATCATGAGTTGATGAATAAACATACATGCACTATGTGTGCAGATCCACGAAATTCATCATGAGTTGATGAATAACCGTACATACACTATGTGTGCAGATCCAAGGAATTTATCATGAGTTGATGAATAACCGTATAGGCATTCTGTGTGCAAATCCACGGAATTCATCATGAGTTTATGAATAACCGTACATGCACTATATGTGCAGATCCACAGAATTCATCATGAGTTGATGAATAACCGTACAGGCACTATGTGTGCAAATCCACGGAATTCATCATGAGTTGATGAATAACCGTACATGCACTATGTGTGCAGATCCACGGAATTCATCATGAGTTGATGAATAATCGTACAGACACTATGTGTGCAAATCCACAAAATTCATCATGAGTTGATGAATAACCGTACATGTATTATGTGTGCAGATCCACAGAATTCATCATGAGTTGATGAATAACCGTACAAGCACTATATGTACAGATCCACAGAATTCATCATGAGTTGATGAATAACATAAGGCACGATGTGTGCAATCCACATAATTCATCATGAGTTAATGAATTATTGTATAGGCACTACGTGTGTATCTTAATAAATGAATATGAATAGGAAATTGGTAAATTACCATGTTAGCACTAAGAGTGCAATCGTATAAGGTTTATAATAAATTATAAAGAGTTAATTGATATTATAAATAATTATTAGAGTAGAAACTAGTCCAAAATAAAAGAATAATGGCATAACTGTGCAATTGGCAGAAAAGTTTCAATTATGCCAGTTATATGAACAGTTAAATACCGTTGAGTAAAAGAATAATGACATAATTGTGCAATTGGCAGAAAAGTGTCAATTATGCTAGTTATATGAACGGATAAGTATCGTTGAGTAAAAGAATAATGGCCTAACTGTGCAATTGGCAGAAATGTGTCAATTATGTCAATTAGATGAACGGCTAAATACTGTTGAGTAAAAGATGAAAGGTCAAACACTTTTGAATAAAAAAAATAACATACTAGCTGTGCATTTGACAGAAAAGTGT